GTGGGTGGAAGGGGTCTGCAAGGGGGGCCCCCCAGGGTCCCCCCTGGGGGGGGCCCCCCAAGGGGGCCCCCCAGGGGGCCCCTAGGGGGGCCCCCATGGGGGGCCCCTGGGGGCCCCATTCCCATAGGAATTCTCCTATGTCTATGAGAGAGAAATATTTGTATGTGTGGAGGGCTGAGGGTAGCTCAGATAGAAGAAGAAGACCAAAGGGGCGAGACCATATGTTTATTATATCGTGAAAGGGACGCAGCAGAGGACCTGCTGCTGCTGCTGCTGCTGCTGCTGCTGATGCTGCTGATGCTGCTTCGGATGCTGCAGCAGCAGCAGCAGCTGCTGCTGCTGCTGCTGCTGATGCTGGTGCAGATGAAGAAATATCAGCAGCTGCAGCCGTAGTTCTCTCTCCAGTTTCTGCTGCTGCTGCTGCTGCTTGTGTTTGTGCTTGTGCTGCTGCTGCTGCAGCTGCTGTTTCTGCTGCAGCAGCAGCAGCAGCAGCAGTTGCTGCTGCTGCTGCTAGCTGTGTTTGTCTTTTTCTTCTCTTTTGGTATCTATGCTTCAGCCTCGTTAAACACATACATATATCTGCCAGCCCCTCCTCCCCGCATGCATCCAGCTGCTGCTGCAGCAGCAACCCCACCCTGTCTAGCAGCAACAAAAAACACACACCAATACGCTCCTTGTATCTTGCTGCTTCTGCTGCTGCTTCTGCTGCTGTTTCTGCTGCTGCTGCTGCTGCTGCTGCTGCTGGCGGTGCTACTGCTGCTGCTGCTGCTGGTGCTGCAGCAGCAGCAGCAGCAGCAGCAGCAGGGGGCCCCTGAAGGCCCTCAAGTGGGTCTGTGTATCGCACGAGCAGCCGCAGCACCTTCTGCAGGTCCTCAATAGACAAAGGGGGGCCCCCTGGTACCCTGGGGGCCCCCAGCAGGGGTTGGGGGCCCCCATACACCCCAGAGCTGGCTGAGCCTGCTGCTGCCTCCAGCAGCAGCAAAAGAGCAGCAGGAGACTGCAGCCCCGCCTGAAAGTATAGCTGCAGCAACGGCACCAGAGATGCTGCGTTCACACCCGTGCTGCTGCTGCTGCTGCTGCTGCTGCTGCTGCTGAGGATGCTGCTGCTGCTGCTGCTGCTGAGGCTGCTGCTGCTGCTGAGGCTGCTGCTGCTGCTGCTGCTGCTGCTGCTGCTGGTGTTAGCGTGGGGCTGCAGCACCGCCACATGCATGAGCCGCTGGAGACAGTGTTTGTGCTGCTGCAGCAGCAGCAGCAGCTGTTCCTGCTGCTGCTGCACCTTGTATAGTTTAAGGTGTGGGGGCAGCAAGGGTTTGGGTTCGCTTGCTGCTTCTCCGCAGGGGGCCCCCAGCGCCAGCAGCAGCTGCGAGGCCCTGAGGGGCCCCTGGGGGGCCCCCGGGGCCTCCAGCAGCGGCAGCAACTCCTCTATCTCTCTTATAACAGCAGCAGCAACAGCCCTGGGATCGATCGATCCCCAGCAGTCTGCAAGAAAGGGAAACACCTCAGCAACAAACTCAACAGCAGCAGCAACAGCCTCATCTGCTGCTGCTGCTGCTGCTGCTGCTGGGGGGCCCCCACCACCAGCCAGGGGGCCCCCCGCTGCAGCAGCAACCAAAGAGGAAAGACGAGGCACCGGCAGCGGGGGGCCCCTACCCCCCCTGCGGGGCCCAACAAACACAAACTTGTTGTAAAAAAGGGTATCAGGGGGGCCCCCAGGGGGGCCCCCGGGGGCCCCCATAGCACCACCCCAATACCCTTCAAGGGCCCCCCGCAGCACCGCCAGGGCCTCCTCCTCAGCTGCATCAATAGGGGGCCCCTGCTGTACCCTTTCTTGGTTAGGGGGCCCCACCAGGGGCCCCCTGAGCAGCGGCTGCAGCCTCTGCAGCAGCGAGAC